TAGGCCTCTGCTCTTGAACCTGCTCGGAACTGTAATTCCTCCTGACCAAGAGAGAAGCAAGGCCTGGTTACTGGCGCTGTGCACTTGCTGCAATGGCACTTAACCCTTAATGTGCTGGGGATCTTCCCATTCCTTTTTCTTAGGGCCTAGAAAGGAGAATCTAAGCTTGTTTCTGTTAGGTGTGTGGTGTGTTCTGTCGGAAGAGGCCTATTCATTTAGAGGCAAAAGGACTTAACCCCCTGGCTTCATCTTTTGAAAATGAAAATTCGCCTTTAATAGAAACAACATTAAAATAAATGTTTATTACTTTTGTAATATGCAGCTCCAATCTCAGAATATAAATGTATATATTCATTCTGGGACACAAGTCTATTCTCATGGATGCACTTAGGGAATCACACACAGGTACTGTGCCCCTCAATCAGTATTGCGTTAACAGTTCCACCCCTGTTCTGCACAAGGTTTCCACAGCATTTTGAGTAAAGCACATTGAGGGTTTCCAAGAGCACATTCAGAATTGACTAAGATTTATCGCAAGCCTTCACGATCCCAGGCTCTGTGCTGCGTTTCACATATGTAGTGCCACGTAATCTTCACAGCAAGTGTTATTTTCAGCTGCAGTTGAAGAATGACCTCCCCACTGATACGTCTTAGACTCATAGGAATAGTGGTAGAGCTGTCATTTTATGCGACATCCTCATTCCATGAGCCACACTGCCCCCTACCGGCCAGACTGTAATCATAAGAGGACCAATGGGAGAGAGTGGGCGTGGCCACGAAGGAAGGCCCTGGCAGATGGAACCAATTCAAGCCAAATGAGATTGAGAACGTCTCCAAACAATCCCAAAGATTTTTCTGGACTTATCTGCAAGGTATGCTAATGATCTCTGAAAAGGTTATCAACCTTGGAGTTTAGAATATACCATTCTATTATTTCTTTCTATGATACCCTATTAGACAAATTACAGATCTTGTGGAGCTGGAAACTAAAAGCATAAGTATTTTATCATATGAAATTGATTACTAAAAATACACCAAAGCATTTTCCACTGTTGTCCTCTGTGCAATAACTAATGTTTTTAAAGTTAAAGAGTTACTCTTTTTTTCTCATTTTTATATCCACAAGTTTCATTCCTCAGTAACAATTGTTATTCAAAATTCCTATTTCTAAAACAAAATTTTTTGTTGCCACATGATACATTGTGGTATAAGGGCACTTAATATGCAAATTACTAACATCTTAATATTATCTTCCCTCCTGTTGCTCTTTAATTTGGCGTTGAGCAGCTGAGGTTTGAGGTTTTAATCAAAGAGCACTGAATGAGGCAATTTATAAAATCAAATGAAGGCTTTTGTTCTAATTGTTTCATTTGCTGTTTATACCCACCAAATTGCAAAATAGGCGGAGAAATGCATTAACTGACTGCTGGCCCTACAGCCTGACCACGTCTAAATGCAGGCTTATTTTCATTATAGTGGAATAGTGTGAAGGAAGAGTGAAGCCTTCGAGCTCCAGCCCAATGTGTAACCCGGCAAGTCAGTTGCTGTTTATACCCACCAAATTGCAAAATAGGCGGAGAAATGCATTAACTGACTGCTGGCCGTACAGCCTGACCACGTCTAAATGCAGGTTTATTTTCATTATAGTGGAATAGTGTGAAGGAAGAGTGAAGCCTTCGAGCTCCAGCCCAATGTGTAACCCGGCAAGTCAATTATCTAAGTCTCATTTTCATCATCTGTAAAATGGAGATAAAAATAGCACTGCCTTTGTATGGTCATTGAAAGGATTAAAGGGGATAATCCATGGAAAGTATTTGCAAAGTGCCTGGCATGTAACAAGTGCTCAGCTCTTATTAAGATGATGAATTTGAGTGCTCACTCTTAAATATTACTGTTATGCATTTTAAAGCAGAAATATTCCAAGCACTATATTAACCATTATGCTTAGCCAAAATAATCAGAGTAGTATTTGCAAAGTGCCTGGCATGTAACAAGTGCTCAGCTCTTATTAAGATGATGAATTTGATTGCTCACTCTTAAATATTACTATTATGCATTTTAAAGCAGAAATATTCCAAGCACTATATTAACCATTATGCTTAGCCAAAATAATCAGAGCAGAAGCATGCACAGGCATCGCTCTCAGTTCAGCACAGGGTCTCAACCAAACCAGAGAGCTGGCTTCTCATGTGGTGCTTACTTGGAGCAGACATCCAGGGTAGGCAATCATTGCAGTTATTATGGGCATAGAGGCTGGGGAGCAGTTGGCAAGGCCCAGGACTTAGGCAAGGGCAGGTTGGCCTCCCAGAGAGGCTGTGTTAGAGATCAGTAGAGGAAAGGCAGGGACTTGAGATATGACAGGCAGTTGATCAGATTCAAGAAGGTAGGCTACAGTCTAGGCACCAGCAGCAATAGACCAACCCCAGAGAAAGAGGGCTGAGGTTCAGCAAGCTACAGGGGCCCAGCAGGAGACAGGGTCCAGAGAACTCGCCGGGGAGCCTCCTCACTGACAGCATTTGACTTGGGCTTTTAACACCAAAGTTCCAAACGGACTCATGGTTGTTAGAGGAAGCTCGTCTTTTTATGATAGCCTTAGTCAGTGTGGGCCAGGAGTCATCCTACTCCCTCCATAGACTTGAGGTCCACTCGTTGGAGGGTGGGAAAACCAGGTTGTCCTATCTCGAGCTCCTTGACAGTGTGTATGAACCCAGTGGGTCTGGCAGGCTGGTCAAGGTGGAACAGAGTCACCTTCCTTTCATTAGGCAGCTTGTCCCCAGGAGGGCTGTGACCCCAGAGGTGTGAGGATGAATCTTTCTGAAAAGGGCCCCAGCAAAGTGATGATCACGGACAGTAAGACAAGCTTAGCCAGCCCCCTCCAACTCCAAACAAAGAGGCTTAAGTCTTTTTTAAATTATGACTTGAATAGTTTGCCTACCTGACAAACTGGACACGTGGAAACATTCCAACATCTTATATTTTCATGTTTTATTTTTTTGTACATTTAGTGTCATGTCACTGCCATCATCAACACCAAAGTCGTTATTATAATCAATAGCCTCTGTTAGAATTCTGGGCAGGATCTCCTTGCTTTCTGACAGATAATTCCAGTAATACCTTTTGAACATCTATTTTGACTCTCCCTTTTTCTAGGCAATCAGGGGTGAGCCAGACTTCCACACCTCGCCTCCAGCGGGCAGAGCTAAAGAATGACGATGGGGTGGGGCAGCAGGGGGCCACTCCCCATCAGTCCCACACACCTCACGGGAAACCATACTGCGAGGGATATTTGAGGGAGGAAATCTCCTCTGCTAAGCCACATCAGGGGACCTGAAGGCCAGGCTAAATTAAATAAAGAAGAACCATTAGCGAAGCTGTGCAAGGATATAAATAAACGTGATGACCCATGAGCGGGAAAGAACATGTGTTTATGCACAAAACAGGTGAAGTGCTGGAATCAAAGTGGCACATCAGTGTTTATAAAGCGAAGATATATTTGCCTAGGATTTCAGTAAGACCAAAGTTAGGCAGCTGTGGCAACACCAACACCATCAGATACCACTGGACTCACCAGCGGTTGATAATTGTCCTGAGCAAGGGTTGTGAGAAGGCACAAAGGCAATAAATTCAAATCTTTAACTTACAGAAAAAACGATTTCTGCTATTGAGTTTCCATCATTCGGATCAAATCGTCAAAGTCATTTGATCTGCACTTTCTATTGGCATTCACAGCAAAGCATCCCAAACACCCAATTTTCACTTTACTTCTTACAAATCCTAAATTATACAAACTTGCTTCCCCGGCATTTTCCAGTGTGGTGCACTAGCGCCCTCTAGCGAGAGTAAGGTCGGCTAAGCCATTCCCTCCAAAAACTAACAACGTGAAGACTCACTAAATATTCAATTTCTGCTGTCAGTTAAAAATAGATCTGTCACTTTCATTTGCACAGCTATAAACCCAACTTGTTCCCTCTCTTTAAAATTTATATCTAGATAAAATTGCTTATTAAAGAATACACAACACAATCATCTGAAAACATTTCAAGTACGTAACATTTCAAGTACGCTGGTTCCCAATGCGAATACATCGTTTTGAGTGTTGCAAAACCTTTTTACAACTGAATAAATATGATTACCAAGCAGTAAAGAAAGATTTTTTGAAAATAGTATACTTGTAAAATCACTTCATTCCCCTCCTAACTTTTCAGACTTTCAGTGACTGGTTTGAATAATCACATGGCTAAATCCATACAACTCTAGTTTATAAGTACATGATCATTGATTTGGTATTTTTAAAATAAAGACTTTCAGCAGATTCCTTCATTCCTTAACCCTGTACCCCAGGGTTCTTAAACTGTTGGCCTGTGGACCAAGTGTGGGCAGGGTCTGCCTACCTGCTAAATTTTCTTCCTGGTTGCCAGCATTTAAGAATCTGGATTTCTTCATCTCCTGAAGAAAGAAAGTTGCATTTGGCAACATGTGTCCTGCACCCTGACATGGCAATACATCTCCAGGAGCTGAGAGGGCTGCCCTTCAGGTGAGCCCTGTGTCCTCCACGTAGCCACAGGTACACCTCAGCCCACATCAGACTTGTGGGTTACTTCCTCGACCCGTGTAGGCACTGCAGTTGCATCCCCCGAGTGTGTGACTGCTTTCAGTTCTAACCCTTACAACCAAACTAATCTTCTGTCATTTGCACCACACACGCCACCAGAGGCACATACTAAAAGAAACATGCTGCTATAAAGAAACGGAAAGGAAAAAAAAAAAACCCTCAGTAACAGAGGAATGAGAGCACACAAATGAGCTTAGGTTGATTTCGAATACAATCCATTTTCTCCCAAGCAAATAAAGTTTACTTGGTGTTTATGAACTGTGTCTTTGTTGTGAGGTGATAAAACCCTCATTATGGGTTCCCAGCAAATAAGCAATGTATATTCTCACTGTCACAAATCACCTGCTCACATGCCAAGATTCCTCTCTTGGAACCAAAGCTCAGGTTATCAGCTGAGTGGCAAGTCAGGCCATGAAAACAGAAACGTGACACTCACGGGAGTGCTGCTGTCAGAGAAGGTGTGCATGCTGACGGAGCTGCTGAGCTTGTCCGAGGAGACGGAGGGCGGGGACGGGCTCCTCTTCTCCAGGGGGTCCTGCCGCTGCAGGTACTCGCGCCACGCTCGCTGGATGCTACACAAAACACAGCACATGCACTGTCACTGCCAGCCCAAAGCCCACAGACTCTGGAGAGCACCAGCAATCTGAAGGGATTGGCTTTGAAGACAGGGAAAGTGTAACACATGGAATGTGAAGCAGGGAATCAGAAAACCTGGACCCTAACTCCGTTTCAGCCACTGAGAGTGTCTTTCTATTCTACCTGTTTGACTTTCACAGACTTGACTAGGTGATAGCAGCCTAAAAGAGTCAGCCTAGAAAAAGTCATCAGTCAGTCCATCAAGTTTGCACACCTAACTGTACTCTGATTTGTAAGACACAAAATCTTTCAGTTTCTCATATTTCAAATGAGAATAAAAATAGGCTATTACTTATTCATTCATTCAATATATCGTTGTTGAGGGGCTATTCTGTGCCAGGGTCAACCCTAGACTCCGGACAGATTGTGCAATACATAGCTCCAGGGGTGCTACTGGCATAGACCTCAAGGTGAAGGGTGTCGGTGATGTTGTGCAGGGCAGTCTACGTGGCCAAATGCAATGGCCCTGCTCTGGGGAAAAGACAGGCAAGCACACTGCAGTCACGGATTTGCATACTGTGGAAGGAAACAGGCATTATACAATAAATAATCAAAGAAATGAACAGAGGAGACTAAATATCTCAAGGTGTTGTGTGCTATTCAGAAAACTAAAGTAACACGTGATTAGGTGGCTACCTGAGATTTCACCCAAGGAAGTGTTTTATTTCCTGTGATTAGTTTACTAGTTTTATTTCCTAATCACCAAGGAAGTTTTTCATTTCCTGTAATTAGTGTCAGAAAAAATCATCTTCTGCTTTTGATGATAGAAATCTCTTCTTAGTATAAGCTAAATGATTTTTTCCCCAACATCGAGGTGTTCACAGGTGGTCAGTGAACACAATGTAACCTCTCCTGAGGGTTAGCTGGACGTGCAGACCAGTTGTCAGTATTTAGTCTTTTAAAATAGTTTAAAATAGTTTCATTAATTCCATCACTGCCTCTTCTACACACTAGCAGCTCCTCATCTTCTATAATTCTTCCACACACAACCTAAGTCATTAAAGTTGGTTCTGTATAAACGAACTGATTTATTTTCATTTGGCTAGAATGGTTCAAAGACCAACAATTCTCAATAGTCAGAGGATATAAAGAACATAAAAATGCTATCATGTTATTGAATCTGTATGTTTTCCCTAATTTGTTAAGGCCCTGTGAATTATAATATTCAAGGAAAAGACCAGAAGCGTCAGCAGAAACCTTTAGGACAGAGGCCGATTCCCTGAAGCTATGAAACTTAAACTTCAGGGTCTATTACTCAGAGGCCAGGAGCTTCTTCCAAGTCCCTGTGAGGAGCTCTTCATGGTTTGTATAGATTGTGAATGTAAGATATCTTTTAAGTTTTCTTTTTTTTAAGGAACCTCCAAATTATGTGTACTTCAAGCCCCACTAAAGCAGGATCTGACCCTGCTCTGAGCTCTATTTGGTCACCATTTATTATGCAATGCTTGCTCAAAAGCCTTCCACCGTTTATTATGCAATGCTTGTTCAAAAGCCTGCCTGCCTGTCTGCCTGCCTGCCTTCCTTCCTTCCTTCCTTCCTTCCATTTATTTTTCTTTGGTTTAAAGATTTTAAACAGAATCTCAAAGACAGTCCTGTAAGATTACCTGCCTGAGCTTAGTAGTCTTGTTGCTTCTTCAGTATCTATTTTATTAGAGATTAGCAACATTTCGGAAGCTGTTAGTGATTTCCACATTGTGTGAGGCACTTTGGGTCTCCCAGAGCCCAGGTAACAAGTTCTCCTACTTGAAGGCTCCTAAAGTCTATAAACCTGCCCATCAAAGGCTCAAAACATGTAACATTTTTAAAGTACCTAAAAATTTAGAAAATATTGTCAACCCATAGAATACTCACAAGTTTATAAGACTTTGAGGTATTTTAGGCTCCTTTTTTTTTTTTTTTTAATAGCCTTAATTATTCAGAAAAATGTAGTGTCCTTTGAGGGATCACATTTTAGCTTGTTGAACACCAGGGGGCGGTGTGACCCCTTTAAAGAACCAAGCAATGTTGGGCAAAGCTGAGGTGAGAGGTTTTCAAGTGAATTTACGCTTAAGCATCCCCTTCTCCCTCCTAGTCTTATGAAATCTGGAAAGTGACATATTAGATTTCCTCAAGTCAGATATTATGACAATATTGTTTTCTTCCAAGTGAATGAATATCCTCCTTTTTAATTGAGAAGAGATGACAATATTAAGTACCTTTAAAATGTATGTTAAAAACACCTCTGTGCCCTCTGACTTCCTCAATGCAAGAGCAATTTTACTTTTGAGTATTTACTTTACAGTCATTGTCCACATATATGGAAACAATTTTACTTACTTCAAGGCATATTACACCATATTTTTTTTAGACTTAATATATTTTCTATGTACTACTTGTCCTTCATAATTACACTTTTAAGGTCTGCATTTTAGGCTGGACAATGTCTTTAAACTAGCATCAGAGGTTTAAAATGACAGGCCAGTCACATTATATTAAGCTGTTACCTTAATTTGCTGCACCGTTTTTTTTAATGGTGGAAGCCATGCTGATATTACTTTCTGTGTTATAGAAAAGTGTTTATGTTATACACTCTTTACTCCCCTTTGACCACACCTACAATATGACCTTCAAAGATTAAATTGTTCTAATATTAAGCTCTCTTAATACCATCTCCAAATGCTATTTCTCAGTAAGAAGGAATAAAAACAAAACGTAGCAGCACCTCGTCCCTGGGTCACAAGGAATCACTTTTCAGATTTCTCACCCTCGCTTTACCATAATCCCTCCTTACAAGTCTTCTTTATGGTTGCAGAGTGAACTACAGACTACCTTGACATTTTTATTTTTGAAATTAAACAGTGCTATCAATATAATTCTCTAAAGATCGGTCGAAGTAAGAGAGCACATTTTGTGTGTTCCTATATTTGGAATTGCAAATAAAGCGTAGGGGGTTACTTCTAAACAGATGGTAAATGCATTTTTCAATAATTTGTTGACTAGCTCAATTCCTATTTATCTTCTCTCATATCAGGGATGGTACACAGTCTGCCTGCCTCTGCCCTTTCTCCACATATCCCTGGGTTTTTCACAGTGCAGGTGGCGCCCACGTGTGCCCACAGCCACTTGGGGGACTCAGCCTGTGCAGTCCTGGTTCCAAAGGCTGTCCTCACACAGAGGAGCAGGAGAGAGAGCTCTCTGGGAACTGGGGTGATTAGGGAAGGTTTGAGGGAGCCTTGGTATTTTAATTAGGCCTTGAAGGACAGTTGGGGAGAAAGAAGGAAGGCCTTTGGGCAAAAGCATGGAAGCAAGGGTACCAGGCAGGAGGCAGGAGAAGAGGGTAGGTAGAGTATGTGGCTGTGAACACAGGAAGAGGATCTCAAGAGCCACTGGGCCAGCTGGGGGCAGACTGGGCAGTGAGGGGGACCCTGTCATGGCAGTTGGTTGTTACCAGACATGTCAACTTTTCAAGAAGAGCCAGAAATCTTCATTTTTTATTGATAAAATTACTATTTCTTATGCGCTACTAAATAAAATTACATTTTTCAAAATGCATTATAACCCAAGTAGGCTGAATTTGGCAATGGCCAAAAGAGGATGCCATCAAAGACAGCACATCGAGTCTCAGTATTTTGGAGACAACACCTAATATGCATATAGCTCTTCTGGTGTTTACTCTCCTACTCAGTCCTGACCACAAGTGGGCTGTGGAGAAGGAGTGACTATTATCACAGTGGTAGCTTTAGCCTGCCTAGATATTAATTTCTCCTTCTTTTGGTTTGTTCCAGCACCCATTCTTCTTTGGGAACTGTGGGGAACTGTGTGTTCTCATGATGACCCCCTGAGTTGCAGAGCCAAAAGGACAGACTGCCAACTTCCTGATGAGGAAGTGGTGGCGGGCTGAGCACGGAAAAAGCTGAGGCTGCGGCCCAGCAAGTTTGTGAAAACTGCATGCTCTCATTTATGACTGCTGATTAAAATCTAGTTGGCTGACCACAAGAACTAAGCTGCGCTCGGGTGTGATGATTCTGAGAAGACTTCTGAACAACTTCTGTTTTTTTATTTTTTCTCCCCCTACTTCCCCTTTTTTACACTTCTATATAAGAAGCTTGTGTGAGGCAATAAAACGAGGCTTGATCAGATCCTTGTCTTGCCTCCCTCCTTTGCGTCTCTTGTCCCACCCACTCCCCCTTCCAGGTTCCACGGACCGACTCCCAATTCCCGAGGGAAGGGACAGGGAACCCACCAACCCTCCACCATTGAGCTCTAGGTGGGGAAGAGCCTACCCCACCATGACAGAGGGCGGACTGTGCCCCTGGGCTGACCAACCAAAGGACAGTGACAGTTCAGGGTTGCACCTGTGTCTCGAGCCAGGCCAATGAAAGACTGCCCTGGGAATTTCCTGAGACTACTGAGAAAGGAGCCCTATCCTTCATCTGGAGAGTCTCAGTGGGAAGGATGTAAGCCAGAGCTGTCCGTGGCCACTTTGTGGCCATGATAGGAGAGACCACGTGAGAGTGAAGCAGACATGTGGAGAGCAGAGCTTACGGAGGAAGCCAGGTGCCTGACGACCTTGCTTGCCCACCTGAGTCGAGCTGAGCTCGAGGCACACAGTAGCCCATGGGTGTTTCTGTTATGAAATCCAATACTATCCTTTTTACACGTACATTAGTTTGAGTTTCTGTTACTTACAACCAAGAGTCCTGGCGAAGTTTCAGGGAACAAGATGGGAACTAACACTTGGACCAGACCCCTGTCTCCCCATTACACTGACATTGTGCTCCCAGCTTATGGCTCAGCAAAAGGCAGAAACAGAGGAACAAGATGGAGGTTTGGACTGCCACGTACCGACTTTGAGTAAGTAGAGCCCCTATTTGTTTAAGCCTCTTTGTCGAATTTTCTATGTGCAGCTAAAAGCTATCCTAGCAGATGTGTCATGTTTTCATTATTTCATGTCTAC